CGGGGGAGTTCGCCGACAGCACGCTCACGGCGATCGGGAGACTGGACGCGTCCGGGAAGGCGGAGCGGGCCATCGTGGGTGGGACGGGGGTGTTCCAGTACGCATGGGGGAAGCTGGCGAGCGAGCTGGTGACGTCCTCGGTCGAGGGCCTCGTCGCCGCCTTCGACGTCTACGTCATCTACTACACCGACGCTTAATACAAGACAAAAAGAACTCCGGCTATGGCGTCACTCCATGAAGCCAGCGGTCGGAATAAGGACAAAACAAAAGGCTGAAAGAAGTGCTATTCTACGTGTCACTTTGTTCTTCATCTTTATCTGAAAATAAATTAGAGCTTCTTATTATTGAAAAAGAAATGCTTTTACAAACGTCGATATTTGGCAGCACAGTACGGTGACATGTTTTATTTTTTTAGGTATATATGACTGTATAAATCAATTCTTCTCCTATTTAGAATTAGTAGCAGTATTATGCATCATATAAAATTCTTGAAAGAAGAAAAAGATCTAATTACTTCGAAAGAATTAAACGAGTATTATGTGGTAAAAAACTCATATCCTGTAGAGTGACATTAAGGATAGGTTATCTGTCATTTTTTTCATTATAATCTACTATAATTCTAAAAAATTATCAAACTTCGTACTACATAAAGTCTTTTTTTTTTTCCCGGAAACACACAAAGAAAACTGAAACAAGTGGGTACAAAATGGTCGATGGATCATATTGTTAGTGTTGTGTGTTTCTGTGAACTTGAGAACGTGTCAATGTCGCATATAATATAATGTAATTAAAGCATTGGACATGGAAGCAAATATGAGAACGGACAAACGATGTTTCACCTTTTTGTATCACGCAATTAATACATAATTACTGACATCATACTTTGTCATGGATCTTTAATCTTTGGACACTAAATATAGTTTAATTTTAGCTACGGACAAGGAATAACTTGAGATATTGATAGGTATAGCTTATTTTATTAAAAAAATTATTATTTTTTTATGAATTATTGTTATAAATTACTATAAATTAATAATTGAAGAGGCAGGGTTCTTAATCAAAACATATCATAACCTTTTGCTCGTAGGTCTATCCCTCTTTGGCCCACTCAATCATTAAGGAACGTAATTTTTTATTAATATTTTTATTTTTAAATTTAATCTAGTATGCATAAATTTAATTTACTATATAATAATAGTCATATATCTTATTATATGTATAATATATTTTAGAAAGTATGTTTAAAATAATATGATTTTCATGAGTTAAGTATGAGCAAAATATGAATTTATATATTTTATAAATCTAAAAATATATAAATTATAATAAATCATATATAAGAGTTGGATTGACTCGATTTAACAGATCAACCTAGCTCAAGTCAGACTTCAAGTTAGACTTCTCTCATCAAATTAGATTTTAATATTTTAAATTATGAAAAAAATAATTTAAATTTATAAATTAAAAATTTTAAATTTATAATCTTAAATTTAAAACTAATTAAGTCATCCAAATTCATAGCTAATTTTTGAAATACAAATATGTATAACTAAATAAATTAAAACTATTATATTAATATAATAAAATAAAAGTTTTAATAATTAAATCAATCTTAAAAGTCACTTAAGCTTAAAAGACCATTATAAATCAAATAATCAATGTAACATTATAAATCAATTATTATTTATTTATTAATTATGAAATTTTAAAATTAAAATATTATTATGTATCATACGATCACAACAATTTTAATATCAAGGATTTCAAAATATGAATCAAAACTGATTAGAATAGAATAGAAAATATTTTAATATTAAAGATTTTAAAATATGAATAAAATTTGATTAGAAAAGAATAGAGGATCTTACCTCACCTCAAAATCATCTTCTTGAAAAATCTTTTCTTCAATACTTTTATTGTGCTCGGTGTGGAACGAGGGAGGGGGAGCTCCTTTATACAGGAGAAGATGAAATCTCTCTGAAAATTAAGTAAATATTTAATTATTATTTTAAATTTAATTTTTATTTTATTTTCACATATAAAGATAGAAATGTAATATTCATTCATTATTATTCACACATGAAAATGGATTGTATATTATTTACTTTCTAAAAATCACATCACTTATTAGGAAATAAGTGACTCCCACGACCGTGCTTAAGAAACAAGTTGTCATCAATTAAACTTATGGGTCTTATAATTTAGACCTTTTTAGGTCTCCTCTACATTGTTAGTTGTTATCAAGGAGGTAACTAGCAATTTATTGTGATTCATGAATTCCTTTGCATATGAATGATTTAATAATGTTGCATGAGTAAGGCTTTCTGCATTGTGGCACGGCCCATGTTGATAATATGTGGGCACATAAAAACTTCTATAAGAGTCTTCTTACAGAATCATATAAGACGACGTTTTGGATGATGGCTACATGCAATTGGTGGCGCTGAGGAAGGGCCTATTTTTAGGTTGATTACATTGTAATCTTACAGTGCTTTTAAATTAGTAGGCTACAATATATAGATTAATACGGGAATGTTGTGTACTTATCTGAACAAAATGATATTGTATTTCTTCCTATTTAGAAGTTTTAATTTTCATGATCGAGTTTCATTTTGTCCTGGTCCTTATCTAAATTTGACTTTTAAAACCTCGAGTGATTTAGTGAATGTTGTCGAATAATACTTGAATCATAACTGGTGCATTGCCCTCTTAAATTAAGTTATATGTTGGAAAACAAAACTTAATAGGTACAAATGCATTTTAGTTTTTAAATTGCTCATTTAGTTGATGTCACATGTCCACATCTATAAGACTATATATAAGTGTGTGTGTGTACGTAGAGTAACTGTGTCATTTATTAGATTCTACCCCAATATCATATGACAATAACAATATAAAGGGTGGATTTTTTTAATATATAGAGTCCTCAGATTTATCCCGTGATGCAACTCAAACTAGATGAGTTTATATGCTAGCGGTTGCAGGGAGCAGGTGACTCCCATGCTGATGCTTAGGTGTTGCTTCTTTGACCTATACGATAAAAGAACTGACAAGTGTTAGGATTATACCTATCAAATACTATAATATTAGGTTTCCTTTTTGTTGATCATAGAGCAACTAGGTTGTAGGACCATCAAAGATTTTGATCGAACAGTAGATCGAACCAAGAATTTGACATCAAAAAACTACAAGACGGCGTCAAGCACTCCATCAAATTAAAACTCTAACCAAGATTGGGAAAATTGGAAAAGAAGGAATAGTAAGAGATCGGACCTTGATCACCATATCGTGCTCGTTGCTACCGAAGAGGACAGAGAGGAGAGCCACCTCTGTGGATTCTTCACATCGTCATTTCCCCCTTCCTTCTCATCTTGGTCGTTGGTTACTAATGCAATCTGCTGCACTAAGATTGGTAGATATAGCATGTGTCCATAATTCATTTGATCATCTTTTTTAGTATTTATTTTTATCCAAAATTATATATTACTTACTGATGCAGTCTGTTGCTTTAAGATTCGTGAAAATGTGATGTTTCAATAATCAATTTGATCCCTTTTTTTACTATTTATTTTATCCAAAATAATACCTTTATTTTTCACAAATTATTTACGTCAATAAAAAAAAATTAATCTTGAGCTCTTTTAATGTTAATAAATTGTTAAGTAGGAGTGCAGGGATCTTTTCCTTTCAAGGTATTTGATTAGATATTAACTCTTTAAATCTCTAATCAATTTGGGACTAAATGTGTTTAAAATTTTTAATTGAGAGTCTTACACAGACTTGTTATACATTTTCAACATTAAGAAACGATAATTAGCCAATTTTGCTGAACCGACAGAAGATTTAATGTGGACCGCATAAACAGTTGAAATAGGTGAAGCAAACACATCATGAGAAAGAAATGCATTGTCTGATGGGCCACTATGTGGTTTAGATTGCGCACGGATTTGGTCAATTATTTACATTGAAAGCGAACAAGGCATATGACGATCCTCTATAATAAATGCACGAGACGCACCGATCACACTCGGGAACCATCTTCCATCTCTAAGTTTAAGTATCGACTCATATGTTACTTTCTTCTCGCTATCGACTCATCTGTTGCTTTTCCACCTCCGATGATAAATCTTTCCTCCGACTCATCTTTTCCACCTCCGACAATAAATCTTTAAATCTTTCCTCCTCGGTGAACGACAACTGTCTTATCCACTACCACTCTGCACTAACGTCTCTTATTCCGCTATGACGTCTCTAGTGCTACATTCACCAGCACTGCCCCACCTTTCCTCCTTTGTTGTATCCTTTTTTATTGTAGCATCATTGCAGCTTTCTCCTCTACTGTAGTTTTCTCCTCTGCTGCAATTTCCTTCTCTACTGCAGTTTATTCCTCTGCTACAGCATTGCTATAGCTTTTTCTATTACTGTAGCTTTCTCCTCTACTGCAGCTATCGCTGTCGCAGCTACAATAATAGCAACAGCAACAACAGCAACAGCAATCTGCTCTTGCCCTACTCATGAAGCCTCTAACTCGTAAATCATTCTTTGCATCGATCCAAGATTGGTATCCTTGACAGGTGCACCATCTTGAGTGAAATCCTTTATTCTGTTAAGAAAAATCCTCTCTCCTAATCTGTATAAATAGTACATGGGCAACTTAATGTATTCAAGCTGAAGTACTTCAATAAAACTTTTTTAATAATTTTTTTTTAATAATTATTCTTATTTTCTATTATTTTCATCGTGCCCGCGATCCTTTTGTCATGGCTTCATCCCCACGCAGCTCCTCTCATCTCTACTTCCTCCTCGTCTTCTTCCCCCCTCCTTGATGCTGTCACGGCCTTCCCCGTCACCTCCGAGTTCGAACTCGGCATCCATAAGAGAATCCACTTCCGCGTCTACTTCTACGAGACGTTTCTCGGCCCCGACAACGGCACCGTCACGGTGGTGAACATGAGCCTCCCCTACACCTTCGGAGACGTCGACATCTTCGACGCCGTGCTGAGGATCGGCCCCTCCAAGTGGTCGACTGAATTCGGAAGGGCGCAGGGCGTGAGCTTCCACGTGTCGCAGCGGGACGAGTCGTCGCTGATACCGCTGGTGCTGGTGTTCACGGGGGGAAACTTCTGCGACAGCACGCTCACGGTGATCGGGAGGATGGACGCGTCCGGGAAGGCGGACCGGGCCATCGTGGGAGGGACGGGGGTGTTCCAGTTCGCGTCGGGGAACATGGTGAGCAAGCTGGTGACGTCCGACGATGCGGGACTCGTCGCCGCCTTCGACGTCTACGTCATGTACCATAACGACGTCCGTCTCACTTCCATC